CTTGGATTAAAAATAATTTTTATAAAAAACTGCATCAGTACTGAGCATGTGCAAGTCTTTCCTTATTTTCATTATTCCCTGAACAATTCCATATAAAACTATTTACAGGGGCCGGGGATTTAGCTCAGTGGTTCTGCTGCCTGCCTCGCAAGCGCAAGGACCCAAGTTCGATCCCAGGTACCAAAAAAAAAAAAAAACTATTTACATTGTATTTGGTATCATAAGTAACCTAGAGTTGATTTAAAGTATATAGGAGGGCCGGGGATTTAGCTCAGTGGTGTCACCGCCTGCTTCACAAGCACAAGGTCCCATGTTCGATCCCCCGTACCAAAAAAAAAAAAAAACAATAAATAAATAAATAAAGTATATAGGAATGCACAGTTTATGTAAATACTATGCCATTTTCTATAAGACACTTGATTATCTATGAGAGAGAGAGACTGGAGATTGAGCCCAAGGCCTTCACACTGAGCTGCATTCCCAGCCTTTCTTTTTTTTCTAAATTTTGAGACAGGGTCTCTCTAAGTTGCCCAGGCTGAGATTGGACTTGTGATCATTCTGCCTCCGTTTCTCAGAGTTTACAGGTATGCACCACCATATCAGCCAAGAGACGTGAGTATCTGAAGACCTTGGTACCATGGGGGCACCCTGAAACCAATGCCCCATGGGCAGCAAGTTCATCCTTATAAACTGTGGAAGCTGTAAGGGTAGTAAAAATGTTACTAGCATTAGCAGTAACAACAGTGAGAATTTAATGTATTTAATGTATTGGTCACCACAACAGATCAGAAATATGAGGGAGAAAAAGGTAGGGAGAGGTTAATGTGACTGTGAGCAACCTGGACAAAATACCACAGCCAAATCCAACAGCACCGACATTGTGTCAGCAAAATGGAGCCTGTGAAGACAGCTCAGTGGTGTGACCGTGTTTCCCCATGCCAGGCAGCCAGCCGCCAGGAAAGCATCTGCGCTCACAGTCATTCATAGGCCACTGTGCCACTGCAGAGAAATGGCCTTTGCACTCACCAGCCCCCTGGAAACCCAACAGTCCCCACCCCACCCCCAGAGCCAGGTTACATGAGGATTGCTGGCAGAGGCAAGAAATGTGAGAGGCAGCAGCCATACAGCTGCCCGCCGAGATGCCCACTGGTACCCTTGAACTAAGCAAGAGGTGCTCTGGAAAATCCATGAACCCTCCCTCCCAATAGAGGCAGATAATCAAAAGAATAAAGCTTCTCTTTGCAAAAGCACATTTAGTGAACACATAGGGTTTGGGGTGATTACTTCCATATTTCTCCTGGTTGTTTACTTACTTAATCCATGGCCCCTAAAACCACTCTTCTCCACCCACTCACGTGTAACAGGTAGACACAGTTATTTTGTTGGGATGGGGCGTGAAGAGGCTGCCACCAAAAGGATCCACCCTAGAAACCCTAGGCTACCTGCAGCTGGTCCTGGGAGCATCTTGGCAACCCTAGACAGGACCCCTCCTGTAAGGTCATGCAGGCCACTTCCCACCCAGTGCTAGAATGGTCTTACAGGACACTTGCTGCTGCTTGAAAGAGGATGTGGACATTTCAGAAGGTCCTTGACTATTCCTCCCTGCTCCACCAGTCTCCACATCTGAACCACAGACACAGCTAGGACTATTTGTCAAAGACGATCTTCAGTGATGCTCCATAGCACAACTCATCCTCCCCAACCAAAATTAACCTAAGCCCTATGTTGTCCCTGCCATTGTTTACAGCATAAGCAGGTACTTGTGTTCAGCCTTTTTTATTACTGTCTCCTCCACTTAACTATGAGATCCTTAAAGGCATAAACTGAGTTTTCTCCCAATATCTGACCCAAATAAGCAAAATCCTCTTGTTAATAAACACAATTCTTTAACAACATCTACCAAACTCCCTCTGCCCTCTAACTGCTGTGCTGAACACACCTCTCAGAGCATCAGCCAACTCTCCCCTCCCATGGCCTCATCCTAGATGCAATTCTCAGCTTCTCCAAACCCACAGAGGTGGAGCTCAAAGCAATGGATTCAGCATTTCAGATCAGCTTTCTAATCCTCTATCCCTGCAGTTTTCCAACATGGTCATGAATCATGATCATGGTCTAATCCAGTCCTCTACCCCTGCAGTTCTCAAACATGGTCATGAAGCCTTCTAGGGGGCTTAAAACAGATTGCTGGACCCACTCTCCATGTTTCTAATTCAGTGGGTCTAGGCAGGATTTGAGAGTTTGCTCTTCTAACACATCCCCAATGATGCCGATGTCTCTAGTCCTGAAACCACATGTTGAAAACCATGGTAATACAGTGTTTCACTGAAAATAGTTCTTGAAGGACATTCTCAGCCATGGGACTGGCTTTCAATGTGGGGAAAGAGGGGTATAGAGGAGTTGGACAATTGTCTGCCTCCTCTCACCACCCAAGACATCCATGGCTATTTCAAGCAACATCCAGTGCCTTGTCCTTGGAGACACACAAGAGGCTCCGAGACCATAGAACACAACATCTCCACTCCTGCTATGTCTAACCTTTGCCTAACCTTTGCCTGTACAAAATGCTCACTACTTATCAACTTAGACTACCTGGTCTTCAATTATTTCTTGGATTGAAAAATATCCCACATCCTACCTAGGATTGCCAGATAAAATACAAGATGCATAGCTCAATTTGAATTTCACATAAATAATGGATAATTTTTTAGTACATCTCATTCCAAGATAGTTATTTTTATTTGCTAACTCTGGCAACTCTACATTTCTACTCATGAGGGCTCCAGGTGCTTGAGCCAAATTCCTGCCAACATGCAGGCAGGCAGTTGAGCCTCTATCTCAGCTGAAGCTACATCCTCTATTTTCCAAAAACCATTCTAGCCAAAATCAAGAGCAGAAAGAGTCAGCCTCGGGGAATACACTCTGTCAGAGATATAGGAGAGTCTGGTCTTACAGCTAGTCCAAGGCTTGTCCTTGTCAGAAAAATTACCTGCTACACAGGCTCTCCAGCCATGGGCCTCCTTGCCCTTGAAGCAGATTTGTGCTGGAGCCCCTACCTGCTCAACCCTTCACAGCCACACCATAGGGAGATGTTATAACCAGGTCTGAAACCCATTTATGACTCCCATGCTGGAGCCTCTTAATCATTTCAAGGCCCATCTGCTAAAAGGTAACACCAGGACCCTAGTGCAGATGCTAAGTGGTGGAAACACCTTCCTGGGCAAGTCTTGTCACTGCCAACTCCAAACACCATGTTCAGAAGCATCCTATACATTTCATATGTCCCCTTTAGAAATCCTCTGGCCTAAACACCACATAGAAGACCAGAGATGTGAGCTATCTTACCACTTCAAGTTGACTGCAGACTTGGACAAGACTTTCAGTCTACTGACCTAACTCATACCTCATCCCACCCTACAGAGACATCTTCCAACCAAAGGAAACTACTGGTAAATTAAAACCACAGAGGCATCCCATTTTTCTCCCATGACATTAGCAATAATAAAAACTTCTAACATCAAGTATTGGAGAGGATATCTGTTATGGTCTGTAACTAGATGTCCCTCCAGAGTCTTATGCACTCATAGGTGGGGCTTTTTGGAGGCCACTGGATCTAGGGTTATGATACTGGGATTAAAGGTACACAATTACTAAATTAGTCCATTGATTGGTTAAGCATAGTTCTGAGTGTGGGTAATAGGAAGGACCACCCTGGGTATGGGTGGCACCACCCAAAAGGCAAGTAGCCTGAAAGGGTAAAAGGAAGAGGCTTCTGCTGCTGTTGCTTGCTGCTTTGTTGCCTTTGGCCTGCCCTGCCACACCATGGACTATTTCTCCTCTGCAATGGCCCTCTACCATGACACTTTGCCTAGGAGCCAACCAACAATGGACTGAAACCTTTATAAACTGTGAGCTAAAATAAACCTCTCTACCTTTAACTTGTGGTAATTGGTTATTTTGTCTTAGCAATGAGAAAAGTAACTAAGACAATATCGAAACATTGTACTCCTCTATGCTGATGGTGGGAATGTACATGTAAATCACTAGAGTGACTTTGGAGAGCAACTGGTAATACCTAGTAAAATTGCAAGTGCACATACTATGCAACCTAATAGTTCCACTCCTGGTGACATATCCCCACAGAAAGTCTCCACATGAGCCCAGTGAGATCCAGGGCAAAGATATTGATTGCAGTCTTGTTTGTTCTGGCAAAAAATCAGAAACATTCTAAATATGCAACAAGATGGAAATGAGAAACAAAATGCAGTCTATCCACATGACAATACCCTGCAGCAGACAGAATGAATAGTTAGAGCTCAATGTATCAACAAGAATAGAGGTCAAAAGTGGCCTTATGGGGAGAAGCAAGGTGTAAAGTAACAGAAAAAATCTGTAAATGTTGAAAGACATTCCCACAAAACAATACTATGTACTTATTATTTATCATATATATGCATGAATATAAAAATAAATGGTTTCCAAAAAGTTATTTTAAAAGGCACAGCTGTTCATGAAAGTCATGATAGTGTAGACTCTAGAAAGGGGTAAAAATTAAAATTTGAGAGTGTTAGTCAGCGAGTGCAACGTCTATAATGTTTTCTCTCTTTTATAAAGCATATAAATGAAGTAAAAATAACACCTTCATAGTCATCATCCCAGTGGTGGACATGTCAATTTGCTACTTTTGTATTTTTCTTTTTATGTTAACTTCTTAAAGAAAAACAGAGGCTATTCTGAGGTGCTGCCCTCTGGGGCTCCCAGAGTCTACATGACGAACCAAATGGTATTTCTCGGATTTCAATAATTCATGGTCTGAGTAGGGGCACGAGTGAGGAAAAGGCTCCATCCTTGTGGGAGTGCAGAAGAGTGCATCCAACGCAGGCTAAAACCTTGCTCTCTCCATTCTCACTAGAGATGACCTTGGGTTTGAATGAAAGGGAGAGGGCTTCGTGCACTGATTGCTTCTCCCAGTCTACTCTAGAGAAGTGGAGGGGAACTCCCACCTGTTTCAGTAATTCATCAGAACCTCAGCGTGACAAGGTAAGGAACCTTCCAGAGGCATGGCTCCAAGTCCAGTAACAACTCTGGCCAATTTGAGGTGAGGGCTCTTTCCAAGGATGTCTTCATCCTGAGGGTAGTAAGGAGGACGTAATACCTTATTACTGTGATAGGTAAAACCCTAATGTGCAACAAATCACATGTAGATTCTGTTAAAATGTGGACCCTCTCAATGGAAGAGTATGTGTTTAGCATGTACAAGGCCCTGGATTCAATCTCTAACATGGGGGAGAAAATGTGTCCTCTTCCACAGGTCTAGGGGAGGGAAGGTGAGCTGGGGTTACTGAAATGCAGCATTTCCACCAAGATGCCAAATGCTGTAGGTGCGGATGGTCCCCAGACCACACTTTGAATAGCAAGTCTCTACACTGCTCACTGTCCATCACCTCTTGGTCCTTCTGCTTCCTCATCCTACTTACAAATAAACACATGAGTGTTGATGGTGTCTGAGAGCATTAGTGTCAGAACCTGGAACACCTAACTCCTGACCTGTCCATCTCAGAGATAGCAGCTGGGGGATTAAATCATCCCTTCATCAAAGGTCATGGGTTTTGCGAAGTAAATGAAAGAGAAGGGCTTAGAACAAAAAGCTTGGCCAAGGTAACAATCCATCCCAACTTGCAGGATTTCTCAGACTCAGGATTTACACATAGTGCTAAAATGGAAAAAGTCCCAGGCAAACCAGAACATGTTGGTCACCCCAGTAAAACTCACCTCGGAAGACTAATGAGAATATGATTCTCTCTGGGAAGGAGAGAGAGTGAGGAAGTTGACTGGAAAGATGCCAGAAGTTGTTGATGTTGGACCACAGACCACACTTCCTGTGGAGGAATGTCCTGCGGGGGAATGTATATGTTGGTCACAGAGGCGTACACAATGGCTAACATTATCACACTTACGATCTGTCCATTTTATGTATGTAAATTATACCTCAGCAAAAATGTCTAAAACAAAACCAGCTTTCCTAAACTCTAATCTAAATTTTGGCATCACTGGCCTGCAGAAAACTGTAGAGAGGAAGAAACTGAATCTGAATATCTGGCTCAGGTGCACATCCTTTTCACATACAGTGGCCACACCCCAGTAACTGTGGCTCTTCTAGAAACCTTCCGTTTGCTTCACTTAATAATGCTCCTTTCTTTACAGGGAGAAGTCTAAATATAAGATGGTCAGGGGGGTGAAGGTTTTCTTCTCCCTTCACAGCGGTCATTTCAGAAGGGCAGTGTATCTACTAAGAGGCTGTATGGAAGACAGGAATGTCACCAAACCCTGTCCTTGTAACTGTCCTTTAAGGGTGTCCCTCCCAGCTCTGCTTCCTCTATGGCCACTCCTTCCTCTGCACTCTGGGAACAGCAGCCAGATGCCACAGACCTCAACATGCCCATCAACCGCCTAGAGATGTGATAAAGCATAGAGCTTCTGATGCAGCAGGTCTGGGTAGGGCCTGGGGATGTGGATTTCTAACAAGGTCACAGGTGATGCTGCTGGCCCAGGGACCACACTTTGAGAACCATCAAGGCAGACTTTCAACAAATATTGGCTAAGTAGATAAATAACCAGCTCTAGAAGTGGAGTCCTGCTGGGACTCCTGTCCTGATTCTGCAGCTCTCTCACTGGGAGAAAGTTTTTAGGCAAACTGTTCTCACTTTCTGAGACCCAGATTCCTCATTTGTAAAGCAGGGATAATAGTGAACTCAGAACTATGGGATATGTCCAAGGAGAGTTTTTTTGAGAACATTTTGGAACCTATCACTGCTTAGAAGACCTCCAAATCTGTGACCCACCTCCCAAATGCATGAGAATTTAACTCCCTCTGGACTCCTGCAGCCATAATCACTCACAGGACTCTTAAAAAGCAAACTGCATTGTCTCAGAGGGCATAGACATTCTCTTAACACCTTCACATGTTCAGACCCTGTGCTCCATCTACGGCTTCTGAGATGGAGGAAGACAGTCACTCACAAGCTAGTGGGTCACAGATATGGTGGTCAATGTAGGGACAGATTACATAATTCAGAGTCACCAGATTTGCTGGGGAAGATTCCTGTTGGAGAACTGAAGGATGAGCAAGAGTCTCTCCGGTGTTCAAGGCCTTGGGCTTCCCCGAGTGGACCATAAACATCTCAGCTTAGGGACTCACTGGCTTCTTCAGAGCACAGACGTGTGCATACAGCAGATGCTCAAAAATGTGTCATTACTGACTTAATAGGCCTGGCTCCTGCAATGCCTCCTGGGAACAATGCCTTGTCTGACTCCAGTCTGAGAAATCAGAAAAGAACATTGAGTAACCTGCTCTGCTCTAAGGAACAAGGCCCACATCTGTTTAAACAGTGATGCAGGCAACTGCCTCCTGTGTGCCGATGGAGAATTCACTAGTTAGAACAGAAGTAAAGGGGAAAACACTCCCTATTCACGTGAAGATTTGCCTCCATCTCAGCCACTATCCAGCTGCCACCTGTCCCCACCTCTGTGCCCCTGACCCTGATCATTGTCACTTTGAAGCCTTGGGTCCCAAACAGTTCTTACATATTAAACTTCCTAAACCTCATTCCTGATGGACCTGGGAAAGAAATGGGGAAAGAGGTCTCTTTTGGAATCAAGCAGACTGGCCTAAGGTTAAGACCTAGCAGTGGCATTTATGGGCACTGGAATCCAAGTCAGTTAGTTCATCTATTGGTCTTGGCTTCTCCGTCTATGAAACGGTGAAAAAAAGTGGCCACCTCTGACGAGAGCCAGGGAAATTAAGAGGGCAGGTGAGTAAAGAGCCTGGCTTCAGCTTACAGCCTTTGTCACTGCCGCTGTCCCTCCTCTCTGCCTTATGAAGAGCCAAGGATTGTTCACAGGTGGGTCCTTCAGCCTCCCTCCCTGCCCTCCCCTCGACGCCCTTCTATAGGGTCCAGCAAGCACTGGGAAGCAGATGTGCAAAGGCCCAGGTCCTCTCAGCTCTTCTCACCATGACTCAGCCTTGGGCAGTGAACTTGAAAGCATCACGAGTGGAGCCTGCTCTGACGTTTCCGGTCAAGAGCACCTCGCACACGTCCCTCCCCAGCTGCATGTGGTCAGCAGCCTTGGCTCGGGAACTCCGGGGCTGTTCCCTTTCCATTTTCAAGGGTCCTTATTCACCTCGCACAGGGGATAGCACTTTGCAGTTTATAGGACACATCCCATGCCTGATCTTATTGAATCTGCTCACCAATCCTGCCAAGGAGGAAATGAATGTTCAGGCCAAATCAATGGCCCAAGACCACCCGGTGGGTAAATGCCAGAGCAGGATTTGAAGGAGGACTCCTTGACTCACAAGCCTCACTTCTGTCACCCATTAATGATGCACATGGGGATAAAGTAAGGGCCCTGTTCTCTTGACCGTCACACCTGTCCTCAGCACCAGACAAAAGCTATGCCAGCCACTGAACAATGCTCTGGAACTCTTCAGCATCCACTGGCTGTGCAGTGGGGAGTGGCTGCTGGGAAGTCCAGAACACCCTACACTGAAACCTATCCCCAGACAAGATTGTAGGGGCCTCCCTGGACAAGCTCCTGACCCCACCATCACAGGACAGCTCCTCTGGTCACTGTCCCTTGGACACCTGTGTCCAAGCTCTGGGGCTGATTGACAGCTGGACTTATATCCCAAACAGACTTCCAGCATGAATGCCACTAGCAGAAGGACCAAGAACAAAATCCACCCACCTGTCCTTGCCTCCAGACTTCCTCTTGCCTGACCCACCTTCTTTCACTCCTCTCCCTCCAAGAACTTCTGCCTATGCTCTCTGGAACGCCCCCTAAGTAAGTAAACTCACCTTCATGTCCAACCACTTCCCAATGCTCAGCATCTCTACTTCTGTCTCAACCAAATATCTCTGCACCCCAGAACCCCAGCTCCCTTGCAGCCCACTCCAGCTGGAGCTGCCCCAACCCATGCGTATACCTTAAGGTCCAAATATGCAGTAGGCATCCTCTTTGCTCCTGTACAAGGCGTGTTCACTTCAGGTCAAGCCATCTCTTCAAACATCCTTTTCATCATCCTCCTCCTGAAGACCTTCTCCCTACCTGGGACTCAATTTCTTTCTCCACCCTAATTAAGTCTTGGCACCTCTGGAACATTGATTCTCAACCTCAGCCCTATCAACACTATGAGCCAGATCATTCTTTGTGGAGGAGGTTATTCTGTAGGATGTTTAGCAGCTTCCCTGGCCTCTACCAACTAGATGGATGCCAGCACTACCACATACCTTCAGTGCAATAACCAAAAGTGTTTCCAGGAACTGTCCAATGTCCAGCAGAGAAACAAAATACCCTTGGTAGAAATGAAACTGGTCTAGAACAATATCAACATCCACTGGGACCCCAGGTCCAGTACCCTTGATGTCCACTAGCCTGCATCCTTCTCTTGGTATGGCTGCCTGCCCTCTGCACTGCCCAATGCCACCCAGGAAGCAGACGGAAGGGCAAGTCTGAATCCAGGCAGATTGATTCCAGATCAAAGGTTTAACTCACTCCACTCGGCCATCAGCCAGTGTGTCTCCCTCATGGCACACAGCAATCTGGAACTGAATTATTTGTTAACATTTCTTCCTACAATTCAGTGTCTTTTCTGCATCCTCTGCTGGAATAGAAACTCTTTGAAGGCAGCAACTTTACTACTTTCTTCACTGTGCTATCCCTTACCCTACTGGCATGTCTGGTACAGAAAACAGGTATGGACTCTTAAGTGAAATAAATCAGACACACATGTGTAAACTATCGCATTTTTCTCTGGTGTGAGAAACTGAAAGGAGAAATAAGGACCAAAATGTATAACAGATATTGTAAAATAGAAAGAGAATGTTCAAATGGGAAAGGGAACATGGGAGAGGGGGAGAGGGAAAGAAAGGAAGGGAAAAGAAAAAAAAGAGGGGCCAGGATTTAGTTCAGTGGTTCCACCGCCTGCCTTGCAAGTGCAAGGTCACAAGTTTGATCTCCTGTACCAAAAAAAAAAGAGAGAGAATAGAAGCAAAAAATGAAAACAAAGCTTTTGTAAGTAGAGGGAAAGGGGGTTGAAGGGAGGGGAGGTTGAGTGGGGAAAACAGAATCAAAATACATCTTGTACAGGTACAAATTCCCTATGATGAATGTGATCATTATGCATATCAAAAGAGTTCAAATAAAATTAACTTTATAAAAAAGAAAATAGGAGGGCTGGGGATTTAGCTCAGTGGTTCTGTCGCCTGCCTCGCAAGCACAAGGACCCAAGTTCGATTCCCAGTACCAAAAACAAACAAACAAACAAAAAGAAAATAGGTATTGAAGGAAGGAGTGGGGGAGGGAGAAAAGAAAAAATTTCCAGAAGAAAAGGGCATATTTTGCAAGAGAGGGAGGGACAGTACTGATCAGATGAAGCAACAAAAGTCATAACATAACATCTGTGTGGAATAATACACAGCTAGTAAAAGGGATAATGTATCTCTATATTCACTGACATGAAATATCCCTAATAAAACTATCTATTTATATTCCCATCTGTGTCTTTATGCCCAAAGAAATGCTCACCAAATGGCCAAAGATTTTTTTATCACTGAGTGGTGAGATTACAGGGGAATTTTGCTTGCTTTTTTTTTTTTTTTACCTCAATTTCCCACAATAGGAAAGTATTAAATTTCCAAACAGGAAACTTCTAAATCATGTTTTCAAAAACTATATTTTAAGATGGAAAATTTCTCATGATAAAATGTTAGGTGGAAAGTATAAGACAAAGAAGACATCATATATCCCAATTGAAGAAAATTTTAAACTGTATATGGAAAGTGCTAACAAGATCAGGAGGAAATCTATCATATCAACAGGTTCTGGGTATGGAGGGCAGGGATAAGACCACAGGACCATTTCTCCCTTGCCCTAGTTTCAGTTCCCAAATGCTCTGGTGCAGCACTGTCCAATATGGCAGAAAGTAGCCACTATCCACACAGGCCAGTAATTTTTCTTATTTTATCAATTGAAATTTAATTGAAATAAACCCCCATGGACCTCGTGGCTACCATATTTGAGAGCAGCCATTCTGATGTGAAAAAATAATTTTATACTTAGAAAAAAAGCACGCATCGTGATATTTAAATTATTTATTTATTTTATTTGAAGAGAAAATCCAAATGTTGCCCCAAATACTGGCCCAGTTCCAACCCAACACAGTGTTCTGCATCTGTTTCTGGTAAGATCTGAATAGCCCATCCAAACTTTCTCGGCAGATGTAGCATTTTTCATACTTTTCTAAAACCTACAGGATGATTTCATTTCTTATTCAGTTCTTGAAAGTGAGGCAGAGTCAATGAACTCACATGTATTCCAGAAAGTGACTTCCTTAGACCTCAACAGAAGGTACTTAAGTGCGCAGATGTTTGCTGGTTTTAAAAGAAGGCCTTGCTGGATATGAAAAAACATTCCCCCTAATTTTTTGCTCAATTTGTTTCAAGTTGATAATGAAATCTGTGAATCTGTGGCTCCCTTTCTTTAGGAAAAATGGAATTTTGATCCCTTTTAAAAATCCGAACGCAACAGGATAATGGAGAAATCAGACTCAATAGTCCGTTTCTTTTTCGTTTCAGAGCTGTGATGTAAACATGATGATGCCTCGCTTTTGGGGTCTTTGAGATGTTTTGCCACATGCACAGCAGCTCAGGTGGATTTCTGCCTAACGGCTGCTTCTTTGGTGGATTTCTGTCAACATATCACACGTGTTGAAAGAAAGTGAGGGAGTTGACAACATCTTTGCACAAAGACCACCCCATTCTGTTCACCCAGGGGAAGCGGACTTGGTATTAACCACCTTGTTCTCGCCTAGAAGAGCTGAAGGAGGGAGAGGAAACGCACATTTATTGAGCTCTTATGAGGTGTCATCTGCAGCCATGCACAAAAGAGGTTGGAATACGTCTCTCCTCGTGATCCAGGGGCTGGGGAAGAGAACAGAGGGGAACAGTGTAGCCTCTGGCTCCACAAAATAAGAATAAAATAAAACGTTGAACATCTGTGTTTCACTCACCACCTTAACGTGTGCACTTTGTGAATTCTGTACTCAAAAAAAGGCAGAGCAAGCTAATGAAAACAAAAAGCTGCCCAATCTCTCACTGCCCAGAGATAAAAACTTATCCACTTCTGAAGGTATTCTTCAAAATTTCTCTGTGTTCTAGGTGTTCTCAACTGAGGACAATTTTGTTGTCCCCCCAGGGAACACAGGGCAATATCTGGATACACATTTTGTTGTCACAATCGGGAGGAGGTGCTACTGGCATGGACTGGGTAGAGGTCAGGGATGTTGCTAATCATCATACACAGCCAAACACAATGAATCACTCGGCCCAAATGTCAGCCGTGCTGAGGGCGAGAAACCCTGCTTAGACACAGGGCTGCATAGCTCTGCGATAATTACATAATTGAGTTTACACAACGCCAGCTGTTTGTCATCCTGCACAAAAACATGTACTGCTTGTCTGCTATGGTCAAACACTGCCTTTTCCTTACAGGGGCCCTCATTTAATGTTTACAGAACTCTGAAGAGAAGGCATTCTCTCAGATTTTATGAACAAAGTCACCAAGGTTCAGAGAAGTGAAGACTCTTGCCCACTGTTGCACAGCAGTTACTTGTGGTGCTAGGGCCAAATGCTATGTGCAAAGGATTCAAATACTGCCTTCTCTATGGTCTGTCCATTCGCTCCCTTTCACCTCAGGGACAACGAGAGGTACATCATTCATGTCACTGCATGTACATCATTCAGGTTACTCCATTACTTAAATCCTCTCTATAGCATAATTCCTATTTTCACCAATATGATCTGTCAAGAATTAAATTGGAGGCCAGGGATTTAGCTCAGTGATTTCGGTGCCTGCCTCACAAGTGCAAGGTCCCAAGTTCGATCCCCAGTACCAAAAAAAAAAAAAAAGAATTAAACATATGCTTTCAAGTTTCTCTCTCATTACTTTTCTGCCCATTTCTCCTTGTGTCTCCAATTTTAAACACACACACATATTACATTACTTTCATACCTTGTATTTGACTTGTCAGTTTGTCAACCGGCCCTCAGTTTTGAATTCCTGTACATCCAGTGGTGATGTTGTGACCTCTGCCTTTCCTTTGTTTGCATTTGGCTGATGTATCTGTGACGATTCTTCCTTAATTATTTCATTTCCAGTGTGTGCTGACTTTGAAGTCAACGTACAGGTGGGCTTGGGTTAGATTTATCCAATCTGAGGGTCATTTTCCTTTCATTTTTTTCTATTCATATGTGATTTCATAACAGGTATCATTGGCCTTAATTTTATTTTCTTCTTTTATGTTTTACATGCTTCCACCTTATTTTCTAATTTTCCCTACCTTCCACTCATTTGATAAACAATATTTTTGGTTCTGCTGGTGATTGTTTTTATATCTTTAAATAATATGTACTTGCTTGAAGCTATCAACTTCAAAAATGAGGAAGTCCCTTAGTGAAAGAAAATCTGTTCCCTTACACTTCCTCCATCCCTCACCGCCATCATCTGGCTTCCAATGAAATGCTTCTCAAATTTTTGTCTCCATCTTTTAAATTACGGGGCTATTTTGCTATGTCTACTTTGCTTGAAAAATTACAATAGCCACGTTCTACTTTACAATTTTGCCATGATTATTTATCTTTAATTTTGTACCTAGTTTCTAAGCACACCATCATTCAGCCATTTTATTCTTCAGAAATGCTAGCTGCTTCTCACGTGAGTTCTTTGTCTTGCTTCCTCTCTTGGCTGACGGAAGCTAATTTCCAAGCATCTCTTCCCCACCTCATCCCATGAGATATGGACAGCGTATTTCCCAAATCCATGTATATCTGAGTTGCATATGAACATGACTAAGCTTTTGGCTCCCATCATCTCTCCTTCATGTATCTCCACTGTTTCATTTTCACCTGGGATCTAAGGTCAGATTTGGAAAACTGAGGCCATCTCATTTTTAGATCCTTCAAAGATAATCTACTTCTGCCTAAATTTTCATCACTCTTTCCCCATTCCTCAAATATCATCCATCATGCATCACAGTGTGTGCCTCACTCATGTTTCTCCACAGTAAATGTGCCTGGTAACCCTCTGAGCTGAACATTCCTTACATTCTCACTTTAGGAACGTTTTCTTCTGTTTCTTCTTTGAATATTGTCTCTGTGGCATTTTTTCTGTTTCTTACTGTCCAAGAACACAAATCAGCCCCACATCAATTCTAGATTTACCCCTTCTCCGTGTCTGATCAGTGTGTCAGTCAGAATCTGGCCAGGAGACAGAAACCAGACCACTTACTTTAATAGGAACAATTCAATGAAAACAAGTAACCAGGTGTAAAATTGTTAACTAGGTACTGAAGAGGTAAAAAGAGAATACTAAGGCATATCAGACCCAGCAAATGCAGGGACTAACGACCACCCAGAGGGCTGGGAGAAAGAAGCTGGTACTATTAGAACTTAGGAGCTTGGGGCCGCGGATTTAGCTCAGTGGTTTCGCCACCTGCTGCACAAGTGCAAGGACCTGAGTTTGATCCCTGGTACAAAAAAAAAAGACATAGAAGCTTGGAAAAAGGGCACTTCGAAGCTGAAAACTAGACTTCTGATCGGGGGGAAGGCTCAGCTGTGCTGGAGTCTCTATGCTTAGTGGAGAGATTTCTTTTCTTTTTTTTAAATATATATATTTATTGGTACATTTTAGGTACAAAATACATTTACATTTATCATTGGGTGTTTGTACCAGAACATGATGTATCTTAGTTTTTATTTTTTCTCCCATTACCTGTGCACCCTTCACCCCCTCCACCCTTCCCTATTTACACAGAGTTTGATTCCATTCTTTTTTCTTTCTTATAGTTTTTCCTTTCCCTTCTTCCTTTTCCCCTTCCTCTCCCACCATCCCCTAACCCTTAGACCTTTTCTTATTTCAAATTATCAATTATTCATTTTAATCATTTCCATCCTTATTTACACTTTCAATTTCTCACACTAGAGAAACTATTCGGTATTTACACGTGTGTCCTATTTATTTCACTTAAGAGTATGCCCTCAATATGAATCCATTTAGCTATAAATGACTCTAGTTTTTCATTCTTTATGGCTGAGTAGTACTCCATTTTATAGAAAAGCCACATCTTCTTTATCCAGTTTCCAGTTGATGGGCATTTGGGCTGTTTCCAAGCTTTAGCTATTACAAACTGTGCTGCTATAAACATAGGTGCACATATATCGCTGTGGTATGATTCTTTTAATTCTTTGGGGAAGATTCCCAGTAGGGGAATAGCTGGGTCAAACGGGACCTGTGGTCCTAGTTCTTTGAGGTATCTCCATACTGAATTCCACAGTGGTTGCACCAGTCTACATTCCCACCAACAATGAAGAAGGGTTCCTTTCTCTCCAGAAGCCCGCCAGCATTTGTTATTGGTTGATTTCTTGATAGCAGCCAATCTTTGTGGGGTGAGGTGGGACCTCAGTGTTGTTTTCATCTGCATCTCTCAAATGACCAGTGATGTTGAACATTTTTTCATATATTTACTTGCTGTTTTTACTTCTTTGTCTGAGAAATGTCTGTTCATTTCAGATGCCCATTTTTGAATTGGGTCTTTGAATTTGGGAGGTCTGATTTTTTTCAGTTCTTTATATATTCTTGATAGTAGACCTTTGTCTGATTAGCAGAGAGATTTCATGAGACCAGGACTCACTGTGCCTGTGCTCCAAGCTAAGTATTCAACATCTTGCTAGTACTGGAACATCGACAACCCTACATAGAGAGACTTCTAGACCAGTGGTTCTCAGCCTTGGCTACACACTGGAGAACCTAGGAAATTTACTCAACTACTGATGACTGGCTCCCACTCCTTGAACTTCTGAGTTAATTAGATTGGGGCAGTGTCTGAGCACTGAGTTTTAAAAGCTCCCCCAGCCAACTCTAATGTGTAACCAAGGTTGGGGACCACTGGCCTAGAATTAACATTGAACAGGTCAATGTTCACAAACCTAGTGTTACATTATAATGATAATCACCTGAGAACATTCTTTAAAAACTGATGACTTGTCAGGCATAGTGGTGCATGCCTCTAATCCCAGCACTCTGGAGTCTGAGGCAAAAGGACCACTTTGAGTTTGAGGCCAGTCTGGGCTATATAGTGAGTTCAAAGCCGACCTGAACTACATAGTGAGACGCTGCTTCAAAAAGAGTCTGGTGGCCCTACCTTCCCCCGGGTTCTGATCCATTTCATTTCAGTTGGGGGCTGATATTGAGGTTTCTTTTTTAATCCCAGGGGATTTTAATGTGCAGCCAGAGATTAGGCAGAGGAAAGACCCATAATGCATATGTCCCCTTGATGAGAAGACATCAGACATCATGGTGCAGAGCTTATGAGCATCATGCCGACGTAAGAAGACAGGGTTGGTGGGAGAAGCCTGGAATCAGGAGACCTCACGAGGGGACTTTTGACCATGGTACGTCAGATATGGAGAAAGCCCCAGAAGGTGTCCTCTCTTCTCTCTCCCCCTTCTCACAAGTTCATTCGTTTCACAGAGGAGAAAATAGCATTAGAAGAAGAATATGAATATGAGTAGACCAGGAAAAGTTCAATTTCCTTTGACAGGACTGTAGGGTAGCTTTGGCCCTCATCGCCCTAGACCCATGATGGCGAACTTTCTAGAGCTTTCAATGATACAAACAGCCCTCTGTGGCATGCATGCCATAGGCTCGCCACCACTGCCCTTGACCATGGAAGCCCCCTCAGCAGATGACTGCACAATAACCCACCCTGTCTGTGTTATAGCAACTATATCACCATAGCAACACAGACGCCCCTGGTGAGTCTCAGGTGTTCACCACAAGAATTAAGGAATAAACAGGGAAAATTGTACATAAACTCGGACCCCTGTGCCCTTGTCCCTTTGCCTGCCTGCAACAACTAGTATCAGTCATTTCACTTTATTTTATCTATTTATTTTTTTCTTGTACTGGGGATTGAACTCGGGACCTTCCGCTTGCAAGGCAGGTGCAGTGCCACAGAGCTAAATCCCCGGCCACAACTAGTATCATCTCTTTTCCTGTTTCTTCTGCATGTTAGGAACTTATTTTTGTCTAATCCTGCTTTATCCTCTCAAATCACCGCAAAGTCTTCCCAGATTTTGACAGTTGACCCTCTGATGGTCTTAGCTTCTGCTCACTGTTCTGAATTTTATTCCTTCAGTGACGCTCTCATGAATGCCTCCTGAGGTCTACTGTGTTGGCTTTTTGAACAGCCACATCAAACTACTGGCATTAATTGAGCTCAGAGGAAACTAATGTTCCTGACTTATTACCATGTGCTTTGTCACATCTTTTTCCATCATGCATCTAAGCTGTGGATATTTTGAGCCCAAGTATACAATCTCATCTCTTATGAGATTTGGCCTGTCATTACTTCTTGATTCACTTGTGCCAGAGTAACAAACTTGGTTTGTGCTAGAGTGATCCACCATCCTGGTTTGCCTGGAACTGAAAGATTTCCCAGGAGGTGGAACATTAATTATGTATGAAAACCAGAACAGCCCCTCAAATCAGCTCTCAGGCAGTGAAAATGGGATCTGGTAGGTAGACAACCTTCTTTAAGACAGCCACCAATGACCTGCTCCAGTATTCAGGCCCATGAGTAATTTCCTCCCCTTGAGTGTAGGCTGGACCTGGTGATTCAATCCTAATAAACACAATACAGCAAAGGTGATGAGATGCCCCTTCTGTGATTTGGTTACAAAAACATAGAGATTTCCAATTTGCTGGCTTTCTCCCTTGCTGGCTCTGAGAGAAGTTAGTTGCCATGATGAAAGGTGTCCTGTGGACAGGTCCATGTGGCATGGAACTTATGTCTCTAGCCAACAATTGTGGTTTGGACTGTGCCCCCCAAGAAAGGCATGCTGAAGTCCTAACATCCAGTAGCTCAGAATATGACCTTATTTGGAATAATCATATATTTAGTCATGATGAGTTCATAATGGAAGTAGGGTGGGCTCTTAGTCCATATGACTGGTATCTTTATAAGAGAAGAGACACAAACACATGAGATGAAGGAAGAATGCCATGTGATGACAGAGGCAGAGATCAAAGTGTTACAGATGCAGCCAAGAAATGCCAAGCATATCCCATCACCAGGAGCTGAGGAGAGGCCTGGGGCATTCTCTCCTTCACAGGCTGTGGAACCAACCTGGATGGTGCCCTGATTATAAGCTTCTGGACTCTAGAACTGTGAGAAAATGAATTTCTTTTGTCTTAAGCCACCTAGTTGTGGTAACTGCTTATGGCAGCCCTAGAAAACTAATATCCATGAGTGCTCGCAGAAGCAGACCCTCCCCCCAGAACCCTGAGATGACTATATGCCCGGTCAACACCTCAACTACAGCATCCTGAAAAACCCTAAGCCAGAGGACTCAGCTATGAAAATTTGTTTCTCAGCAATTGATAAGCAAAATAGCAAAGGATTGGAGGGCAGAGGAAATCTGTAAGGCTCCCAGGCTAAGCCCCAGATGCCAAAAACAATATGGTTTTTAACAAATCTGTATTGGCGTCTTCCCTTCTGTATCAATCATCTACTGCTGTGTAACAAACCACCTCCCAAATTAAAGTAGCAATCATCTGTTTGATCATGATTCTGCAGCTTGCGGTGGGGTCACCTGGACACCTTTCCTGCAGGTCTTGCACAGGACCACCCATGTGGTCATTCATCCTGCAGCTCAGCTGGCGCCAGCAAGTCTAAGGAGACCTCACTGAAAAGTTTGGGGCCATGGTGCTGGTCACTGGCCAGATAGTTCTTTCTATGTGGACTCTCATCACATAACAGTCTAGCCCAGACTTTCTCACATGGCGCTAAGAACATCCCCAGAGGAAAACCGTCAGCTCTGGAAATAGCACAGCTTCAAAGCAGATCAGAAGGCTAGTCTAGATTCTAGGATTGGGGCAAGAGACTCCACTTCTTGATGTGAGGAGCTACAAAGAACTCACAGTCCTATTTTAATTACCACATCCTCATCATACCTCCATTTTCTTACTGGTCCTTTCTGTGATCACCTCCCAAATAAGCTTCTTTCACATAAATCCCTTTCTTGGGATCTATTAAAGGCACTCAACCTAAAACACACAGACCCAGGGCTTTTCCCAGAACCCTCATCCCTTCTCATTCCATTCCTGCCTTTTTAATCTCACCCATTCAAGTCCCTGTACCCCCAAATCTCTCCCTCTAGCCATCCCCACACTGAATATCCAACTCCATTCTCCCAGTCCACTGAGGACCTTCCAGATATCTCAGTTTCGATATCCTGAATCAAAGTCTGATCTCCAATAGCCCACCCAACTTTCTCTGCCAGCCGTTTCATTAAACCTTCATAGGTTCAGTTGGCCTCAGCCCAAGTGCTTATGCCAAAAACTGCTGCCTATGCCACCCATTCCTAAGCCCTGTTGATTATGCAGCTATATGCATCAGGTTCCTCTTTGGCTCTAAATACTTCCCAGGTTCCTCTTCTCATCACCGTGACTGCTACCACTATGGGCCACCATCTCTTTCCTAGACAACTACAGCGGCCCCATAAGGGCTTTCTCTGCTCCTGTCTTGTTCCTAGGACATCCATTCCCCGAAATTAAAGTCAGCAGCCAGAATGACTGCTGCGAGGCAAATACCTCACGCTCACGCAATCTCTCCGTCTCG